CCCCCCCCCCCCCCCCAAAAAAAAAAAAAAAACAAGTGACGCTGGTTCTTGCGCGCGCACCGCTTAGCATTAAGAAAATCTCGTACTCGCAGTTGTCCTCGTTTTAAAAACTAAGGTCTCAAATAACGTTTATAACGCATGTATCTTACAGGTTTGTCTAGTAAGAATAGTATCATGGATAATGCCCTCGTAACAGATCAGGCCACCGATTGATCCATCAGTCTTAAGTCAGGATCCTACACAGGTGATACAAAACTACAGGGAAACTCAGCCGAGTTTACTTTCGAGTTCTGGGATTGTTACTAAGGACAGAGAAAAAAATTGGCCAATAGCTGACCGGCGCGACCCCAGTAACAATTGCGGGTCAAATTTCTTCTCCAATAAAATTCCCTTCTCGTTTCTAAAAAGGCGAATAACACAACTGAAAACTGCTCTCTTTTCCTGAGTCAAAGGTGAGGGACTTTCGTATGCATTTTATCCGCGTTTCCAAAAAAAATTTCCACCTCTTTCGAACAATGCCGAAAATATTCAGGTGATTTCTGGAGGTTTTGCGAATGACGCAGAATCCAGTCCCTCAAGCCGATCGCGACACTCGACATTTCGTACCACTGACTGCAATATTTTGGGTCGAGATTGAATAAAAGTTTTTCAGTTTAATGGTTTACGATAAGTCGTTCGGAATTGTGAGTCAGGAAATGATGTTTTCCATCCTTCATGATCGTGCAATAAACTGGTAACGTTGGTTGGCAGCGGGTTCGTCAAGGGTCATTCTGTCATGTTCAATTAATAAGCCCTAAGATAATACCCCCGGTGGGGGAGGGGGCGGGGGAGCTACTCAACAACCTTTTATGTGGTAAGACACCACCCCGAGACCTAACTCCTTACACATTTATCGTTGAAGGAGCTCGTCGTGTTTGTTTAGGGTTGGAGCCTCCCCGCATAAAATTCAATGTCACTCAATTCTTTGCAGGATCCATTTAATAACCATTAGTCTTACAGAAAGTCGAATTTCCTTGAGTACCGGTTTCCCTCGCGCCTTCTTGCTCTCGCGGTCGATTTGCATGGTGGCAAGTCTAGGACTCGGCAATAACACAATGCATCTTGTTTTTTACTATTGTTTGAGGTTGAAAAGTATACCAATGATAGCCTAAACTGGCATGAGGGAATGAAAGTGAGATGGGTCGGAGCTATATTAAACGCAATGAATGAAATCCAGAGGAACTTGTCAAGGCTTACAACACCCTATCTACTTGTCCATGGTGATGGAGATCAATTAGTGAAGATTGACGGTTCACATTACTTACATGAGAATTCTCCCAGTAACGACAAGACATTTAAGGTACACGAATGAGCTGCTTTGCTGACGGCACTGAGCGATCTAATAGCCTCTCTATGGGTATTTCCGACGAATAGTTAGGGCACTTGACGGTATATCATGATGGCAGGAAGAGGCGGTCAAGAAACGGCGTTTGTTCATGTGGTGATATTGTCCTGCCCGGGGTAGGAGTTTCGGCCACTTTGTTCCAAGCGTAATTATTTGAACTTATCCCAACAAAAGTCGTGATTTGTCTAAACCCTTTAAACCCCAAGAGTGAACAATATCTATTTTCTCCTAACAATGTCACCACATTTTCAAGGGAAAGGGTTATGAGAATTTAAAAAATAATCACCAAAGAGGAAATTCTCGTCACCAAACGGGTGTCTAAAGAATAATATAGAGTTTTCTCTCTTCGGCCAATTTTCCGTCCCGTTGTCATTTTTAAATCTACCTATTATTATTTCATTAGAAACTCAACTGCGTGAAAAACTTGCTTTTCAGGTTTACAAAAATGGACGCCATGAACTGTTGAATGAGGTGGAAGAAACTGCGAGCGTGATTTACAAGGACATTCTAGACTGGATCCAGCAAAAGCTACCTTGAACTGTTTTAGACCTCGTTTACACGAATCAAGACTAATTTTTGAAACTGCAAATCCTTTTACCTGGATTCGTGCTGACGAGGCCTTAAACCACTCCTGAGACCGGTTTCAAAAAGATAGTAGGCTTATTTAGCGCGCAATAAAAACGGGAACGTCAGATGACGACGACGCCGCGAGCAAATCAAACAACTGGCTTGACTAATGGCAGAGAAGCAAGTTCAGCTCCGGAAGTCGTGTTTAGTCCTTTCCGCGCGCTTTCCCGTCGTCAACTGACGCTCCCGTTCTGTTGCAAAATCATCCTAATGTTTCGGTGAGAGGATGCACTGGTTTCGTGTGTGGACGGAATACCAGACGGAAGGCCGATTCATGTGAAAAATATATATAAATGCCCCACAAAAATATCCGGATTTGCGTAGACGGGGCTTTTCACGATAGTGTCAACCTACGACCAGAATCATGTCGGTTTTTTTTTTTTCATTTCTTTCATATTTAATTCAGTAAATTCAGAAGCCTTAATTTGCATTAGAAAGCCAAATTCTGAAGGGTTCCATAAAAGGCCGTTTTTACGATGACGTCATTTTACTATACCAGATTCCTTCAGGGTTTTGCTTTCTTGCGCAAGTTAGGGCTTTTGTTTTTTAAACCTCAGTGGGATTAACAAATTTAAATATCAAAGAAAAAATGAAAGGAATTCCTTTACTGGCAAAAACAAGTCATCGCGTAAATAGCCAATTAGGCCCGTGGCCCCAGTAGCCTTGCAGCAGTTCAGAAGAGACCCCTATGGGTCGCAGTTCCTTTGTTTTCGGGCTAAGTTCCAAACTTTGTTTGTTCATTGTTTTCCCAACCAACACCCTGAGGTCTTCGAAGAACTGCAAGGTCGCCCCTTATATGAAGAAAAGTCGCCCCGAGTAGAAGAGTCACTCGCCTACCCAGCTACCCCGGTCGAGCAAACATCTCCTACATTTCCTTACCGAAACTTGGCGTTTAATAACACTAGAAACAAATAGTGGGCAAAAGCCCTTTTTCGATGGTAAGGTCATCTTCCTAGGTAAGCCGGGTCAACTCGGTCAAGGCGAGAGAATCAGACCATGCACGAGCGCTGTTATAAACACCTGCTTAAGTTGACTGGGGCTGGGAGGGTGACCCGGGGGAAATTTTTCTCTATGTAAACGGGGCCTCGTTCACATGTTTTCTTGATATAGGTTCAATAAACAAAACAAGAACTCTGCAGGTGCATGACACGGTTTTGTAAATTTATTCGCCGTCACTACGTTATACGGAGGACATAAGCAGCGAAAGACAAATTTATTTTTCTCTATTTACACTTTCATGTCAGCGGCTCCCTAAAAATTCAGTTCCACGGAAAAATCAATTAAATTTGACCAAGTTAGCCAATTAAGATAACCCCAACAAATTTTAAAAGTACGCCAAATAGCTTTATAAATGACGTTTTGCTACCGTCGCCTCCCTAATGTTGGGCGTATTAAATCTCAAGCAACCGACGTTCAGTCAGAGTCAATCTCTGTATTTTAACGCCATACGTTAGTAGTTATGTCTTACGTTAGATTGTCTCCTTTAGACTAGAAAAAGATACCAAGCTGATCGAGGAACGGACCCCACGTGGTTTTGCCTTCCGGTCCTCGCGTGAAGACCCCGGCTGACCGGAGAGACGAAAATACCGGTCACCTGGAGCGAGAGGCGACGGGGAGAAGAGATAGCCTGGGAACGAGATTGATTTACAGTTTAACTTTCCTAGATAATAATAACCTGCGATCATGTTCTGCCTAAAAAAAACGTAAAACGCCTGTTCCAAAAAAAAAATAAACGATGAAACATAAAAAACTGTACAGCTTTACACTATTTCCTTGTTTCTGTTTTCGTCTTTTGTATCTATGGTTTGTATTTTTGGATTCTGTTTCAGTTTTGTGGTTTAATTTTGTATTTTTTTGAGTGTGTTTCCTGTTGGGGGTGCTTATTTCCGTTTTGGGATTTGTGTTTTTGTTTTCTGGTAGTGTTTTTCTGTTTTGGGTTTCCGTTTTGTCTATGTGTTTCTGTTTTGGGTTTGTTCTCTCCTATTTTTGTTGTTGTTGTTGTTGTCTTGTGGTTTTTTTGTTTCTATCGGCCACCCTATATATTTGATAGTCCTCTGCATTTAAATCCAACCACTGGAGAACACTTCAAAACTCCGTTGAAAATTTCTTCACAGAGATCAAATCGTCCAGGTAAGAAATAGTCTCCTTTAACTTGGAATTTGTCTAATCAGATATTTCTGCAAGTTTGTTTTGATTTGCTGCTGTAGTTTTTTTCCCTCTCCATTTTACTTAGGAATAATTAATAATAAGTTTAGACCGGTTTGCGACCGCGAAGCAAATGATGTTTGTTCCATGTTAAGCAAAACGTCCGACTAGAATATTGTTTTGACCGATTTGTGTTTCTCTCCCTTCGTTGTCTCCCTTTTCTGCTACCCTCATCCACTTCCTTTCCACCCCTCCCAGGCGTCCAAATCCCCAGCCCCTACCCCCCCCCTCCCACAAGCAACGCCGGATATTCAGGATAATTTGTGTTAAATGTTGATCTTTCATGTTGTAGACGTCACAGATTTATAATAATTTTCATTTATATGACAACAGCTAACGAAGAAATACCTGCTTTGTACATAAATTTGTGAAACTAAGTCTTGCATCGATTAATAAGAAATTGAGGTCCCGAAGTTATTTAGTCAAGACATCTTTCCTCAAAAAGCTGCCTTTTAAATTTTTCAGTGTTCATTGGGACTATGTAAATTGTATTGTCAGAAAGGTTTTCAGGAAAATTACGGTTTATGAATTAAATCGCTCTTATTTCTGCTCTACGTAAGGCAAACAATTTAAAATTTGTTGTGGTTTTCTAGTTTGTGGTCTCTCTGAATTTCGCACGTAATGTTATTGTCGCCGGGCAGCGGACTCATTGATTAGACCGAGCCCCATTTCTCTGGACTTAACCTGTGTACAGCCGCCCCCTCCCGGCAGAAAAAACATTTTTTTCTAGTAACAGGAGGGCGCCAATACACGGGCCATTTGGACTGAAACATTTCATGTAAACTAGATGGGGAGAGTGTTGTGGCTATCAATAATAGAATCATCAAAACACGGCTGCACAGTGAGAAAGCCGTGTAACCTAAGTATTTTCAAGACAAGATCTACACTTTCTACTCATGTGACAATTTTATAAAGAAGTGGAATTCGAAGATAATTGAACTTACTTCCGGCCTTTAGCAGTTTCTTTTGCCATCCTTGCACGATCATGAGACCAAACAATAAGGTCACAAACGATGGAAAGATTTATTTTTATTGTATAAACACCAATGAAATACAAGGTGAGCTTTCATGCGAAAACATGATCTTCACATGTGAAAATAAAACGTTATCTTCACATGTGAAAACATCACCGTTGCTATTAATCTCGTATCCAAATCTCACTCTGTTTTACTGGGTACGAGATAACGTTGCTATGGCTACATAATAAATCGCGCCTTTCGCAGGAAAAAAAATGTCTAACTGAAATGGTTTTGTATTTCATTGGTGTTGATATAATAACTAGAAAATTACATAGCCGCGCGGAGATACGAAATTTCTGTCCTCGTGTTGAAGATATTTCACTCTTTCGCTGCGCTCACTCGTGAAATATTTTTCAACACTCGAAGCCGAGAAATTTCGTATCTCCGCACGGCCATGTAATATCCTCTATGTGATACATATTCTGCCATAAAAACCTTGGGGATAGAAATGTTCCAATCCATACATTAAAGGTGAATTATTCAGAACCCTCAAAACTGACCTAAAAATCGACATCAGAAAACCCGGCCCAAAAAGGCTGATCTATACCTCACACCAAAACAGGGACAATCGAGCTAAAACATTGGCATAATGTATAAGTCTCCGTGATAGTAACTAAGTATACCAAATTTGAGCTAAATCGGCCGACACCTATTTCCAATCCTCCCTGAGACAGAAGCTCTCAACTATATATTTCGGCTCCACTACGCAGTACAACATGAATAGAAAAACCATTAGGTTTATTTTGGCTGTTTCGGCCGAGCACCGCAGATATAACAATACATTAAACAACATCTTCTATTACATTCAAACATGTGGTGTAAGAACTAGAACAGAGCTGAGCGACAGTTTACACAGAGTACTGCCAGAACAGAGGCCAGAAAAAACCTGCCAGAAAAAAACCTCAGTAAGGAAAAAAACTCGGCAGGAAATCTGGGTAGGATCCATGGCTCATGCTCTGAAAAGCCCATCCTACGAAGGCTACACGGCTGGAAGGACTTTGCCCTTATTTGCAAAACAAGTATTCTAACAAAGAACGGCAAACTCTAAATAACTTAAGGAAACGCAAACAAGCTAAGAAACCCCTGGAAAAATCGAACTGCCAGTAGTAAATCGAATATATACTAAATAAATAAATAAATAAAAAATAACTTGAGCTAGACGAGGTGTCGGCCTAGAATGCTTTCCCACGTGATAAGCATCCCTCTTATAGCGCTCTATTCTACCCATACTGCACTTCAACTGCCCCAGTCCCCACTGCTCCCGTGCCGCAGAAATAGTTCATTTCCGGCTAATTCGTATCCACTCAAACGCTGGAAATTCCATTTTTATTTGGTATCACAGGAGTTTCAATTTTGTACTTAATAAAAGCTTTTTTGTTTTCTGAATATTTAAGTACGGTACAAAGGAGATTTTTTACTTTCAATGAAGTTTATAGAAAGAAGTTTAAAAGGAATCTGCTTGAAATATTGTGTTGTTGTATAACACCAATATTCAGAAACTGACAAAAAAAATTCAGAAGATTTGTCAGTTAGAGTAAATCTAGGGTGGAAGGAGTGGAAAGTTCTAGCTACCTTATCGGTCTAATGGGAACATATTCAAATGTATTAATGAGAATTATTTTTGTTTTTTCTCTACCTCCACGCTCCTTTAAAGAAGCATCACGCCCAAGAAACAGTTCCACTTTGAATACTAAAACTTCGAAATGGCAGAAAGAATACTACAAGATATAGCTGAACAAAAAAAGCGTCTTAAAATAGCGCAAATCAATAAAAACACGGAAGAGAAAGCAGATGCCTACTACAATCTAGGCAAGGCTTATTTCTCCCTTGAGGATTTCCATCGAGCAATAGAGTACCTCAAGCAATACCTGAGTATTGCTGAGGAACTCGGTAACAGAGCAGGTGCAGCATGTGCCTATAGAAGTCTCGGCTTTGCTTACCTATTAGAAGGTGACTCCCAAAGAGCAATAGAGTACCAGAATCAAGACCTCAGGATTGCCAAGGAAGCTGGTGACAGGGCAGCTGAAGGATGTGCCTATGGCAATCTCGGCTTTGCTTATCACAGCCTTAAAGAATTCCAGCGAGCAATAGAGTACCACAATCGACACCTCAGGATTGCCAAGGAAGTTGGTGACAGGGCATGTCAAGGCAAAGCCTATGCCAATCTCGGCCTTGCTTATGGCAGCCTTGAAGAATTCCAAAGAGCAATAGAGTACACCAATAAATACCTCATCATTGCCAAGGAAGTTGGTGACAGGGTAAGTCAAGGAAAAGCCTATGCCAATCTCGGTCATGCTTATCACAGCCTTAAAGAATTCAAACGAGCAATAGAGTACCACAATCAACACCTCAGCATTGCTGAGGAAGTTGGTGACAGGGTAAGTCAAGGAAAAGCCTATGCCAATCTCGGTCATGCTTATCACAGCCTTAAAGAATTCAAACGAGCAATAGAGTACCACAATCAACACCTCAGCATTGCTGAGGAAGTTGGTGACAGGGCAGGGGAAGGCCAAGCCTATGCCGATCTCGGCGTTGCTTATCAAAGCCTTAGTGAATTCCAAAGAGCAATAGAGAACACCAATAAATGCCTCAACATTGCCAAGGAAGCTGGTGACAGGGCAGCGCAAGAGACATGCTATGCCAATCTCGGCAGTATTTATTACCATCTCGGCAAAGACCAACAAGCAATGGAGTACACGAATAAATACCTCAACATTGCCAAGGAAGTTGGTGACAGAGCATCGGAAGGCAACGCCTATTCCCAACTCGGCGTTATTTATAACAGCCTTGATAACTACCCAGAAGCAATGAAGTGCCACAAGAAACAGCTGGACATTGCCACGGAAGTCGGTGACAGAGAAGGAAAAGGAAGAGCCTATTTATCCATCGGCCTCGTTCATGAATCCCTCGGCGACGTGCAACAAGCAATGGAGAACTACAAGCAGTGCCTGAGAAATGCCGAGGAAATCGGTGACAGTTTTGGACAAGGAAGAGCCTATTGCCGCCTTGGAGGCTGTTATAGAAAACTCCACGACTTGGAGGAAGCAATAGGGTGTTACAAGCAACACCTGAGTATTGCTGAGGAACGCGGTGACAGGATGTCAGAAGCATGTGCACAAACCGGTCTGGGTCACTCTTTTTTACAATCAAATTCTTTGAATGAGGCTTTAGTACATTTTAGATGCTGTGTTAAAATCTATAACACTATTAGAGCCAATTCTATCTTGGAGGATCAATTGAAAATAAGTTTCTGCACGAGTCATCAATGTGCCTATACTCATTTATGGCAAGTTTTAGTAATGCTTCAAAGGATTGGTGAGGCTTTATACGCCGCCGATAGGGGACGAGCACAGGCTTTGTTCGATGCCTTAAAAGTGACTTATGGCCTTACACCACTTTCTCCAAGGTTAATTGAATCTGAAGAAGAAGAAGTCAGAAATATTTTAAGGAATACAACTGTTTTAACAGTTTTTCTTGCCCTGGATAAGAACATACTCAGTATGTGGGTATTGCGAAAAGAAGGCAACCCTTTCTTTTGGCAATTGATGTTACAAAAAATTGGAAAAGAGCACAAAGATTCTTTTGCTCTCCTTTTAGACTTTGTTTTAAAAACCATTGGGGCTGGCGTCCGTATCAGGTGCGAAAATCGGTCAATGGATAAACTGAGTACAACAACTTCAACTACTCGAGACGAACATCAAGCATCAGAGGCATCACAGGAGACCACCGACTGTTTGCAGCAATTATATGATGCAGTTCTTGGTCCCATTGAAAACTTGCTTGATGGTGATGAACTAATTGTAGTTCCTGACGGCGCTCTGTCTAAAGCTCCTTGGGCAGCCATGAGTGAAACTTTAAGGATCCGCACTGTTCCCTCACTGACAAGTTTGAAACTCATTACTGATTCTCCATCTGGACGCCACAGTAAAAGTGGAGCCCTGCTTGTCGGTGATCCTTGTTTGGAGAAAGTTAAAACTAAAGACGGGAAGCCTTATGATCCACTGAAGTACGCAAGAATGGAAGTGGAGATGATTGGAAAAATTCTAGAGAGTAAACCATTAACAGGTGAAGATGCAACCAAAGAGGCGGTTCTTCAGAGAATCGGGTCAGTTGCTTTGATTCACATCGCAGCCCACGGAAGAAAGGAAACCGGAGAAATTGTTTTGGCTCCAGACCGCCGATTGGAATCCGACACTCCTAAGGAGGAGGACTGCATTATGAAAATGTCTGACATACAAGCTGTTAAGCTGAGAGCGAGACTGGTTGTGCTAAGTTGCTGCCATAGTGGTCAAGGAGAGGTCTCGTCTGAGGGTGTGGTCGGTATGGCACGTGCTTTCTTGTTTGCTGGTGCTCGTTCCGTGCTGGCGACACTCTGGGCAATTGATGACGAAGCCACAATGATGTTTATGGAATCTTTCTACCAACAACTTGGAAGTGGAGAAAGTGCAAGTGTTGCTCTTCAGAGGGCCATGAAACGTCTTCGAGATTCCCACGATTATTCTGCTCCAAAGTACTGGGCTCCTTTTGTTCTGATGGGCGATGACGTTAAGATTGAATTGGAAAAAGAGTCATTGAGGAAGTCGTAAGTGGAGATTGTTTTTCTTGCTCTTCTAGCAACAAAAGGCTTAAGAAGAAAAGCTAGAACCATTCTTGTCAAATTCAGATAAAAGGAAAATGACAGACTCGATAATAAAAAGAATAAAAATATGTACTAAGTAAGGATGAGTTGGGTGGTAAGTGTTAAATTATTATGGATTCACTCAAGTAAATGCTATTCCTAACGGGCTACCAACACATTTCAAAAATCAATTGAACACTAGGCATTGCTTAATGTTCTCAATTGTTAAATAGTTTAAGTCAGGTGTGGATAAAAGATATACATAGGGAATAAGTTTCCTTCGTTTTTCTACAGGACTAGCACTAAATGTAGAGAAAGTCATAGCTTCAAAACGAACAAATATGTCTTCTAACATGTTAAATGTTTTTCATTTTCCTATTTTTCATATCATCATCCGTGATGGCATCCCAAAATTTAACGCTTGGACCTTTATTTTGTTTTGAAATGAAAGATTAATTAAGGTATCAATTGTTACTTTCTTTACAGGGATGCGCTGAAAGTTTGATGTCAACACAACTGTTGAAGTGACGTGTATATATCTGGATTTCCCCAAAGAAAGAAGTGCGTTATTTAATAGCTGTCCTCAATGGGGCGTTTGGTAAAAAAGCATGTTTTCATTTTAGTCATTTTTTGTCAGAAGATATTAAATAAGGAGATTTATAGTCACGCTAACGGAACATGGTAAACGTCTACAGATTCAAGTTGAAAATTTCTCAAAATAGAAAATATGCAGATAAAATGAAAACAGCTCCAAGCAATTCTTATGGATAAAACTAACAATTTTTTGTAGATTTATTTAACAGCAAACGAGAAAGCTCGAAGAGTAAAGGGAACACTTAGTCACGTAGTACAAATCCACGCTTTGCCGTAAACGTAACTCTATACTAAATCTCTCTAATTAATACTCCTTAAAAAAACGTTTTTAAATCAGCCACGGCTACATTTATTAATTTTAACTTAGGAAAAAGACAGAGAATTTTCGAGGGGAAAGAACTTAACGTTGTTTACAAGTATTTCGTTACTCCCGCGAAACTGACTAAGTAGTAGTATGGATGATTGCCCCTTTTCTCGTGTAACCTGCCTTAACCGGCAAATTATAATTTGGCAAAGGAAAATTGCATTGTAATAATCGTAATATTGATGATAATAATAATCACCATCATCATAGTCTTAATAATTCCTTTTCAGTTTTTTCCCCTCGGCTTTAAAGCAAATGACTGAAACAAATAATTCAAATTAATTTAGCAGGGTTAACCCTCGGACGTACACACCCATTCATACCCCAGCGTGGCATAAGGGGGAGGGGTGGATGGAGCCCCTCCCCAGAGTTTTTGATCATGATAATTTGCAGTATTTCGAAACGATTTTGCCTTCAGTGGAAAGCCTTTGATCTACTCAACAGGATGAGGTTTATTTTTAATGGGTGGTGGCGCTGCTGGGGGCCTGTGACGTTACCAACAGTGATCATTCTTCATTTGATTTCATTTCCGCAGTTCTCATATATGATTTATTTCATATGCACTTGTCAATGGGACTATTGTTGTCACGTTGCCATTTGCATGGTGAAAACAATGTTTTGCACTGAGAGCAGTCTGCAGTCTTCATTTTATACTTATGTTATATATCGGGACACACATTGTGTCAATTAAAACTGTTTTTAAATTTAAGTGAAATGGGATTTCAGAGACGAATTTAACTTATATGGATAAATCATTAGCGTTTCATACAAAGAGTAAACTTTTTGCCCTCCACCTTTGGGAATGAATATGCTCGTAGTTTTAACATTAAGTTTTGGACGATACACTGAATAGCCTGCGCAGAGACAGGAGCGAGTGACCGCTGGCGAATTGGACCGTCTGAGAATCATTAGAGTGACTTTTGCCTTACTTTAATAACCCTTTTTTGGGAAAAGCGTTGCCAGATAGTCCTTCCATGCCTGCAAACAAAGGAAAAAGGGCCCGAAATCTAATCTTCAACCGGAAACAAGATTTATTTTCCTTTTCTATTTTCTCACCACCACTTTCTTGTAGGGCTGAGTCCGCCTCTGTCTCTGCACTCGTAGACTATTTGTTCTGCCATTAAACTAGGTTTAACTCTTAATCTTGTTTCTTAATTAGTGCGAGTCATTTCAATCATAAAAGACATTTTCGTGTTTTATTGCGTTAGTGGTCCAACAGCTTTAATTGATGTCAACTTTAAAGTATCCAAACAGTGGATGAGATTAGATTAAGATTTTGAACGCTCCAATAACTTAATGATGTTTTGTTGTAATTGTGCTAGGTTGTAAAAGTCGGGCTTTTTATCAAATAGATCAGTTCCAGAACACATACACAGCAACGTTCTGAGGTTTGGCGCTAGGAAATCACAGCAATCGTTCAAGCTATTATCATTCTATCGAGAATCTGACCTATTTTTACTGCTTCTAGATTGCTTTTCTCAAGGCCATCGACTTCTAGTCATCCCTCAGTTATTTAAAGGAGCTGCTTTAATTTAGGGGTGTCACCATTAGAAAAAAGGATAGGAGGTTGGGGGAAGGCAAACGCATTAGTAAGGAAAAAATCTCCACACGCACCATGATGAAAAAAGCTTTTCGAGGAGGAAAAATAGATTTCCACCTCAGGGATTAGGAGAAAACTTTCATAGACCCCCCAAAATTCCACCCAACCCCTTTACTTTCCTAATGGTTCATCCCTTATACCGCCCCATGTAACGGAATCCGGAATCTGGGAAAAATTTGCATGCGGAATCCGGAATCCTGGGCTTTGGAGTCCGGAGTACAGCTCAAACAATCCGGGCTCCCACTGGCGATCGGAATTGAGAATCCAAGTTCCACTGACAAAGACCGGAATCGAGTACCTGTAATCCGGAATCCGTGACGTGGAATGAAGAATCCAAGACTGTCTTGGATTGCCTTACAAGGGGTGACTTATAAGTCGGCTTGTTGAACTGCTTCTACTTGATCCCAACACGTAGCACGATGCAATGTTTAGTTTCTGATGTCACCTTAAGATAAGTAATGTTGTATTAAACCTGAAGAAAACGAGATGTTTACTGTGATTGTTGATCTCTTCGATGCCTTAAACCATTTTAAAACAATTTCTCCTTGAATTGGAATAGTCAATATTTGATTAACAAACCACTCCCCCCTCAGAGGCGCAAAACATTTTTTCGATTCTAGGACGTTTTTCCCATATTTTAAGGCAAGTTTCTGATTCTGTCATTAAATTATCCCGCTACTGAGGTAAATCGGTTTTCAAGAAAAGAACACCCAACTTTCAAGCAGAAGTTCGATGAAAACCATTTGACCTCGTTTCGCCATACAACGTCATAAGAAGCATAAAGGCACTAAAAACTCATTCTATTACATTTTCAGAGAGTACCATGACAGTGGCCCACAACTTTGCCACGGGTCTCTGGCCAGCCAAATGACTCAGTAAAACAAAAACGTGTTCAAACCAATTTCCCCCAACCAGGGATGTACCTTTGAAACAGCAAAGGAAACTTTTGTGCATAATCATCAAAACCGGGTAACGGATATTCGAACCGTGGCGTTAATAAAAGAGTAGGAGGGAGGAGTGAAACGGAAGTGAGGATTGGGAATTAATTGGCCAATCCCTCTCGGCCAACTGCCCCAGACTCGTACCCAGTCGCTATTTATTTAACCCCGCGCGCCTCAATCTTCTCTCACCCCCAAAACAAATAAATAGTGAATGGTGCGATTGTGGACATTTATAGATTGTCCTCTCCGTGGATGGGCAAAGTCAAGTTCAAGTACACTCCTGGTCAATCGTGAAGCATGCAATAATGTAAATTTTAATCATATTTCCAAACATGGTCATGTTCACCAGTGCCTATAGAGTGTTTTCACTCACGTGGCCAGCATCTATGTAAATTTATTGGAACAAAAGAAAGCGTTTGCATAAGAAAAGATTTCAGCTCCCAGAGGATTGGTTTGGGACACCAACATGGCCGCGGTTTCATTGTTTTGGGACACCAATATGGCCGCCGTGACGTCATGTGAAAACACTCCATATTGAACACCTATTGAATAAGATTGTGTGATATCAACGGTCTAGGTGTTACCAGCCGAGCCGAAGGCTGAGGCTGACAACACTTACCGAGACCTAGATTATTCCGGGTATTACAAAAAGCTAATCTTATCATACATTGTTTTGAAGAAAATAACAACACACCGTCGCACGGAACATAGTTTGACATTCCTCTTGGAAATCACGCATTGCACGCACAAACTGCAAACAGTTATCTGCTAGCAGATGATTAACTAATCTGTAGGTTGCGCTTTTTTTCAAAATAAACTGAGAAGGTACTCAGTGAGTACAATGTCTAATAATTTTGGTTATATGTATATAGATTTCTTTCTTGCAAACGGACTTGCAAGGAAAACAAAAAATTCATGCACAGAGTTATTAGTCACTATAATGAATTAAGGATGGTTGAGGATATAAGCATGAATGGGAAAGACAAACGTCAAAAATTTAGCCAAAAAATTCAAGAGGCAGAAAACATGACGTAGCTAAGCTAGTCCTTGATTAAACCCCTCGCCAGTAGAAATGGGTGTGGGGAAGTACAACCTCGTCCCCAGGGCTTTTCCCTTAAAAAATGCCGCCCCACGCATTTTTTAAGGAAAAAGCCCTGGGGACGAGGTTGGGGGAAGTAGCCTGGTCAAAAGTAGCCTGAGTATCAGGCGTCTAAAATCTCCTCTCCCCTAGCCCCTTAGGAGGGCCTGATACTCAGGCTAGGTCAAAAGAAGGGAGCCGCAAGGCAGCACGGGAGGTAACCATGACAACCCGGTGGCGGGGGAACCAACACCGTGAAGGGTGATATCACGTCATGGGTGATAGATTACTCCTTAAGTTTGGCACGAAATTTCAGCGTTAATTTATAATTTCACTTGTGAAATTACAAAATTGCCATGGCAACGTTTCGTACGTCTCAGTGCCAAGATAGCATAGAAAATTCAAAATGTTATGAATGAAGATGTCAGGGCAGGGCATTCCAAGACGCTTTAGAAAACCTGAACGCACGAAAGAACACATCAAGAACTATTCTAACAAGTATTTTGTGGCAATACTTGTGAACTTAAGCCAAATTTTAAGCTCTAAACCTTTCAGTGCGAGGAGTTCTCCATCACATAAATAAGATATGCCACATAAAATCACTCTTCCTAAGCTAAATTATTCTAACAATTAGTCAATAGGCTGTGGATACTTTTGACCACATCTAGTGAGGACGTCACATTTACACCCGGAAGGACAAGTAAGGATACCACGCTGCACCATTCTCTACAAGAACAAATAATTAACAATTATTGGAGGAGGGAGAGAAAAGTTATGTGTTTCGTCAGTTACGAGCAGTTACGAGCAAATCAATTATTGGTCTATGCCTATGGCGGTAGCAAATAATTGATCTGTGAGACAATAAGAAACCACTATTTTATTTTTTTCAAACCGAGCTCACTGATTGTTTTTTCATTCAATCGGTACG